TCTACCAACATCCATTTTTGTTTAAGATTAATTTAGTAATTCAAGTGGAGACAGAAGGGAGAGAAAAAGGAGCATAGCAAAACCCAGCATGTGTGAAAATCTACAAGCACTAGATAGCTAAACAAACCCTAAGTCCCTCAGTGCTGCAGTAAGGTCAGAACCTTTCAGCATTGTACCAGTGTGTCAAAATATGTCAACAAACCATCATACTGCAAGGAGAAGAATGACCTTTCAGTTCTTTATGTTTGGGCTGCTTTGGATACTGGGTATGCATGAACGGTTTTCCTAGCCACTTGACAAATGTAACTCCCAAGGTTTCTTCCAAGTCAAGTTGTTAGAATGGTTTTCAACTCACCAAAGCAATTTTTTAAACCATCTGCAACTGAAGATTACTGAACTTGCCAACAGAACGGACATCCATAAACCCACAACACATCTCCCTCTTCCCCTATCACCTACAATCAGACAACAATTATTACTTCAACAGTCTTCACAGTAACCTGTCAAACCAATTTAAAGAGATAAACAGCAAAAAATGCCTCTAATTCTTATCTCTTGATTCAGACTTTGCTCACATAGAATTCATCCTTACCATCAACTGCAAATGAATTTGAACGCAACACTTGTCTCAAAACAACCTAGGAACACATTATGTGTGTTTGTGTTGTGAAATACAATCCTTTGCATAATTTCTTTTTGCACTTACCTGAATGAAATACTTTTTTATTAATCGAGGCGGCTCTAAAATAATTTAATAATTTTACTATGACTTATAGTTATGAACTGAAGTGTCAAGATCAGGCATAATGTACCAGTTAACGACACACTGAATCACGAATTTAGGCTTCCAAAAAGTGTGAATAGTATTTTAAAATTACTTATGGGAAACTTACTTTTATTTCTTCTCTCAAAAAAATAGAAGCACAGGACTAAACATTTAGAACACACAAATGGTGGAAGGAATTTAGTATGGAGATGACTTACCATTTTATTCAAAGAGAAGATGAAATGCTTCTTTTTCACTATGTGAAATTGCCTTTAGTTTAATAACAGTGTCAAATATGACATTTTTCTATGGTTTTCTTCACATATAGTAAAGTCTCTTTAGCTAATAATGACGTCAAGCCGTCTCTTGGGACTCTCTAGAAATTACATTCCAGACTGTACATATGCCTTAGCCATGCTTGAAGAAGATAGAAAATGTAAATTGCTGTATTTGAGTTTATATCTTACAGCAAGTCACTGACAGTGAACCCACTAATTACTGTTTGAACCATGTGTTGCTGGTCTGTATATCCTTAGAAAACAGTACTCATGCCTGTCAGCTCTGACTAACAGACTTTTACAGCTAGGACTCCAATTTTTAATTTAAATTAAAAAAAAAAAGTTATAAAATCAGATACTATGGAGAAAAGAAAAAGAAACAGCAACATTCATCTAAACCCTAAAATAACTTATAACATGTTCATAGACCTCATTTTAAAGTGCAATCTGTGTAATTTGCTGTTCATGCTCTCCAAATTACCTTTGGTCACCCTGACAATTTAATAGCTTTTATTCTCATAGTGACAACAAATACACCAATGTAGACCAGTGAAGAATGGAAAGTGTGGTATCTACTAGTTGTGTACAAAGCAATTATATTTTGTGCATGGAGTTTTTTTGTTTACTCAGTGGCAATATAAGCTATAGCCTGCTCAGCAGATGCCACTGCTCTGGAGGAACAAACATACTGAAGGAAGTATATGAATCACTTTATACTAAGTTTGTCCAGTATATAAAATATCTTTCTTTTCCTAAAACATAACTCTGCAAAATCAGTCTGGGAATATGCAAGACCAAACTTGCCTTTTCCTATTTCTTTATTATTGAAAAATCTCAATATCTAAACAACATCTTAAATTATAACTGTGCAAATCCACTGACAAGGTACACTTTGTACATTTTTAATGTGGAGCTTAATTTGAAGATGAGGTTGCAGTGCACCACTGCAATTGAAAATTGCTTAACAATACCACTGATGTATGAGCCATAAAAAACCTCGCTAAGCTGTCCCTGCAGAACTCAGAGTAATAAAAAGGTGTTCCTCTGCACTGAGGTGAACAGACATGGTTGACTGCATCTAGGGAGCTGTTCTGTTAAATGAGAAAGTGCCATTTCTTTCCTGTCAGTACAGACCAATTTAAGACACGCACAGATTTGGTTAGCACAAAGTACAGGATTTAATGAAATACACACAACAGCAAACAAGCCCCAGCTATGCTCAAAGCTTACAGTCAGATTCTGAATAGAATTCTTCTTTATCTGTGACATGTGAGAAAAGAACACAGAAACTTTTCCAGCTTGATTCCCAATTTTTAGGTAAGCAATAAAAAAGCTGAATGGAAAAGGTCTAAAACCTCTCACTTTCATTCCTTTCAAAGTATCTAGATTTGTGTTTCTATCCACATCTAACAGCTGATTTTTTCCTGAATTTCATTTCTGCTTTACATTCAACCAATAGGTCAGGTTTAAAAAACCCTAAACTATTACCTGAGTGTCATATCATCTCTATTGTGAACTCATGCTTTTTCTCCAAATGATTTCTCTTTCAAGAGGAAGGGAGACACAAAGGTATGGTGGACTGACTGAGAATCAGGTTCTCTCTTGAGAGACTTCTGTATAGAATGATTAAATAATACAAAATTGGTCCACAGTTTGTGCAGCTACACCTGTGTCCTTTCATATACATAGTTATAGAGACCAATGAAAGTTAACTGTCTAACCTGAATGTAACCTAATCTGTTAACATATGTTCATTAACCCAACTGTCATTATATTAGAAAATACAGTAATTCAGAACTTGTTTCAGAAGATGTGGCACTGTCAGCTTGGCCAAGAAGTACCAAAATTAAAACTAACGGGATTTATTCTTTAAAAAAACCCCACAGAAATCTGCCTAGTTTCCATAATTAACCTGAATTTTTGATTCAGGGCATAACAAATCTTACTATGGAGAATTCTAGTTTTCTTTATACAAATGTAAATTCACTATCTTTAAGAATCAAACATTTTTGTAGCTGTTTCCAAGACAAACATCTATGACAGCAGATTTGGAAATATCTCAAAACTATTTCCAAAATGTTTTATTGATCCATGTATCATTCCAGTCTAGCTTTTGCGACATTAAAGATACTTGACTAACAGCTCAGTGAGAGATATTATTCCATTTTTGAAGTCAAATTATTAATTGGTACATGTTAAAATTAAAATGAAATTAGCACCAACTTAGTTTCTTGATAAAAGCATAAGAGAAGTTTCCTTTGGAAATGTCAGGTGCAAATGGTATACCCTATTCTCAAATATTTTACACTAAAATGTGGATAGACAGTTGATAGCACAAAAAAAAAAAAAAGGACAGAAACTTTAATGGCAATTTTATTACAAACAACTGGATCAGTGCCTTCATTCTACCTTCCAGTGCAAGTTTCACCACATCTCAAGTTAGTATCTTTAAAAATTAGTTAGTTATCTGCTGAAAAATCACTTCTTGGAGGTATTCTTCTCTGATACCATAATGGATGCCTTCAAACACACCCTTTACACCAGAAAGTATTCCAGTATATCTGATGGTCTTCTCCCAGGCTGAGCTGCTCCATTTCCTTTACACTAATGTGCAGTCCAGCACTGTTTGCATCACAGTTTTTCCCGCCATTCTCACCATTTGCCTAGATATTGTATATACTCAAATTTCTTTTTAAGTTTTATATTCAGTGTTTCACAATTTATTTTCTACAACTCTTCTAGAGTATAATATCTTCATCCAACATCTGACAGCCTTCCAGGTTTCCCATTACCTTGATTCAAGTTTCCAATTCTCTGCTTTCTGGGATTGTCAAAGAAGAGCAGGTCCTTTTCATATTAATCAAGAATGTTGCTTCAGAGCATAATTTTGCACTTTGATGATGTTATTATCAAGATCTGTTTTCCCCTTCTCTGCAGCTTTCTACTGAACCTCTTTTAAGGTATTTCCAAAGTTAATGCTAGTTGTTTTCACATTTGTCTGAAATGCTAGTGGTCACCAGATTAGTCTCTGATATTGGCACACATCCCATTTTTGCTGCATGTTCACACACTTGTGCCATGTTCTCCACTATCCCTTTGATGGGCTCTTGTGGATGCTGAGAAGACTTCCAAATTTATGCTTTAAAAAATCTGTTATTAAAACTTTAACTTGTCTCACTATCTTTCTTAGGGTTCTAATACACAGAAAAATGGCATTGAAGATGAAGCATTCTGTTTAGTATTTTTTTGGGAAAAAAATCCTCCAGTGCGGAGGTGTCTAGGATCATGGAAAGATTTATAAATATACATAATAATGATTTTTAGAACAATGAAGTGGAAGTATTTTAACCATATTTAAAAGAAAATATCTTTACACCAATACCATCAACATGCCATAAAATTCTGTCTAGCACAACTCATTTCTCCCCTTATCCTGCAAATACTTACTATATTTTCGACTCGAAGATAATTGTAATTATTGCTTCAAATGTAAATAATATTCAAAAGAAATACTTTATTAAAAAAAAAACCCACTGTGAAACAGTAGTGTCGTACTTACAATGACAATGAGCAATAACATCCTTTATACATAAACCCCACTTGGATAGACTGTAAAGATTTTTTATCAAATTTGTCACCTTGCACGTATTCCAAAATGTTACAGCAAAATCTTCCTTCTAAGTCAGGTACTAAAAAACCTGACATATAACTTCTGTACCCAAATAACTTACTCTGTCATCTAGCATCACTGTAAAATCACTATATACATATTTGCTGCATGCTAACAATTAAGATCTCAATTTTTCATAAATATTTCAGCACACCAACCTGAAATGCTAATTAATGACATTCAAAATGCCAGATTAGTAACATGGAGAGTCAGTAGTGTTTTATCCAGTAATTTCTTTTTAAAATGAAGTCCTATTTATCTATAAGGAAAAATAATAGAAATATACCTGTTCCAGTAGCTCCAAAACTGGTCCTGCAAGTAGGCTTGGTGGCTACTTTCATCACCAAATGAGGCTTTGCTTTCAATCCAATGAATTATGTGTCCTTCCACAGCTAGAGTGACAGTAGAAAACACACTGAACTCTGAAAATCACACCCAACAGCCTATAAGACTGTTAGGGAACATTCTATTTATTCCACAATCTACCACATAATCTATGCTTGCAACCGAGTTACATATTTGTAAAAATTATCTTTCAAATACGCACATAGGGAATTTAGAAAAAATACCAGAAAATACTTTAAATAGATAGTCACATGAATTTCAGTTTAATTACACCCTGTTCCAAATATCTGCATTTATTATAACACAAACAGAATGTGAAGAAAAAGAGAGTAGACTAAGAAACAGCTGTATTCTTCTACTACCCTTACTTTTCTGGAAGAGAGTTGTCAGGTAATAAACTGGAAACTTCTGCTGAATGATAAAAGTAGTTAGCTAAGCTGTTAAAGAAAGACACTTGCCACCAATCCAGAATGGAAGGTGTAAGAAAGGGAAAGAAATTTATCCTGGACATGTGTCTGCTTTCTTTCTTTTGTAAAACCAGTCATGCCTCGTCAGAAAGAAGTTAGGAGTAAGAAGGCTTATGTGAAAAAATGTGATTTTGAATTTCTCGTTCTTTCTATGCTTTGGTATTTGCTTTGGTTTATGTCTTTCATCATTTCTTGCAGGAGTGAACTACTAATATTAATAAAATCGTAATTTTTTTGAAAACAGAATGTCCTCTCTGAAGTTGACAATGTAATTTTGCAGAAGAAATCATGAGCATCACTCTAAGAGACCATTTCTCCAAAAAGGTATTGTTAGGTATCGTTGTAAAGACCTTAAAAAATTTTAAAAACCTTTATTTTAAGTTACCTACAATATCCACAATCGCGATGCTTTAGCCTAAATTTGACTTGGAACGAGGTTTTCAGAGAACATGCAAACCCAGAAGCACTATACACAAAGATTACAAGAGGCTATAGCAGCAAATGATTGACCACAGACTACAAAATTACTCAGGAAATCTGGGAAAATAACTCATGAAGTCATCACACCAAGATCTATGTGCCACCACTATCCTGCTATCAGTAACCCAGTTAACTTGTGTAGGCCTATACTACTAAATCCTTCCCCACCCCCAACACTTTTAGATCCCAGGAGATGTAACAGTTGAGGTATAATCAGCTCAGAAGCTATTTCTAAGAAACATCTGCCTTTCCTAAGTATGTACTGAGTCATTAAGAAAAGAATCCAAGGAATGCTATACCTTAGTTTATATCAGACAACAGGTAGAACATGATTTCCTGTAAGTCTAAAGTGATTAGAATGATTTAAAAGAAGCAATGCACTATTATTACTTGAATTTGAGACAAATATATGCAAATGAATTAATGACTTTTTTAACCTTCTTTCTAATAGAGTAATATTACAAAATAATTCTTTTGGGTGTTTCCTGGTTTCCCTTCTCAAGAATTAAAAAAATCATTGCTTTTCTGGCTTCCTTTTGATCAGACTCCTGAGTAGGTGCGACATAATCTCATGTTTCTAATATAAAAGTGGGTACCTTAACACCAAGTATGTACTGTGTTAATTATGGTCCACATTACTTCTTATGATCTTACTAACGTATACAACTTTCTGAAGAGCCGGTAAAGAGGGAGGCAGGCTCTTTTCAGTGGTGTCCAGTAACAGGACCGGAGGCAACAGGTACAAACTTAAACACAGGAGTTTCCACCTGAACATCAGCAACCACTTGTGAGAGTGCCTGAGCATAGGCACATGTTACCTAGAGAGGTTGTGGATTCTCCCTCCAAGCTCATGTTCAACAGCTGCCACATGGCCTCAAGACCATGAAGGTCTTGAGACCTGCCAGAAAAGGCAGATGAACTTTAACATGACCTTTATACTTACTTTTGTTCCTTATTCTTTCTTGATATTCAGGCTTTTTAAAAACAGTAAAGAACCGCAGAGTTTTATTTGGATGCAAAGTGATGGCAAAAAAATAATTCCACAATGACAAACCTTTATGCAATGACCTATAGGGGTAATGTAATACTCTTAAGACTACTTTGAACTGATTTGGTCTAGAAGTAGAGGACAATTATAGCTATTTCAGAGTTTAGTTCAGAAGGGCAGTGGGTAGAATACATTAGAGGGAGCAGGGATTTGGGGGTTTTTACTGTTGCTTTTTTCCCCTTTATTTTTTGATAATGAGATAAAAACATTCAGAGACTAAAGAAGAAACATCGGGTTATCCTATTTAGGATCAAATCTCTCTGACTCAAACTAGAAGTTCTTAAAATTATTAGGTTAACTCCTGAAGAGACTTATTTGCAGTATCCTAGAATATGCTTCACTTAAGTAGCCATAATATTTTTGTATGAGCACTTCTACACAAAATAATAAAAATTCTTTTAAAATACTTACCTACTGGTACTTCTAAAATAAAGTCTGGTGTTTTGTCATAACCCTTTGCACGAAGCTGATCTTCAGCTGTACATAGAAAATAAGAACTACTGTTTATAAAACTATTCCATTAAGTAGACAGCAGCATAATTAATTTTATTCTAAATAAGAGTGCAAGAATTACTAATGCAGTCATACATATCTTTCTTATGCATGCAATGCTGTGTCAGATTAAATGAACCTTTGTAGAAAACCTGAAGCATGGATATAAAAATGCTTCTTTGTCATCCCTGCATTTTTATGTCTTCATTATAAACATCATTAATTCAAGCTGTCATACAGTATTTTATAACCTCCAAATATTCAAAATAAAGAGGTATATTCACTGATTGAAAGAAGAGTCTCTCCACCTTCGGATGTGTTAAGATTAATCCTACCGACACCACAAATGTAGATACACTGTTGCTGCTGCCTTGGTTTTATTTTTGATGTTAGCATAAAGTTGTTAAAAAAAAAAAAAGAGCAAGAAATTTATCTCACAGAAATTTATTTAAGCAAATAAGAGCCATAATTTTAGTTTCTCCTGCATTCTGGATTCTGTAGAATTTATCCAATTTCTGAACATAAAAAGATTTAGACATTCTGCTAACATTAAGTCTGCAACTATTGCTTACAAATATTAGAGCTGAACATTTCAAGAAATAATATTGAGTGAGCAAGACAAAACTGCAAAAGGCAGAAGATGCTCCCTTTGAAAAAACAGGAAAAAAGGAAAAAAAAAAAAAAAAAAAAGGAACAAAGCCCATGTCACCCTTCATACTTTTAAACTATTGTCCTTGATTTCTGATACCATTACATTGGTATTTCTGAAACACCATTTCTCCATTAGAATTTGGAGTGACCTGGTCATTCAATTCCAGGCATGGCTTTCTGTCTTCACCCAAGCTCAACTAATGGCACTACCTAGTAACAAGTAAGGCTGTGTAGCCCCTTAACACCTACTGGGCTGTTGACATTGTCATGCATCCCATTCGCCTTTCTACATCACCTTTGATTAAAATTAATGGTCCATTCTCACTGTTGGGTAGCTTATTTCCAATCCATTTATCAGGTTAGGACAGTAGTTTCATGGCCAATGTTCAGAACTCGGTTTTTGAATACTTTGTACAAATCCTGAAAGGTCAGCAGTTTGAGTCCAAGTAACATTTTAATGACAAGAAAAACACACTAACTTAGAAATCAAAATATTGTAATACTGCCAAAAGCAAACTCTCCCACTCTTTTTCATTGAAGAATATAAGTTTGAAGTATTTTATATAGTGAACTAATTCTGAAAATGGAACAGAAGTAAATTTGGAACACTGAACATTTGTGTCAGTGTAAACTGCAATAGCTGTTTAGTCTTTTTGAGTGGTACTATATATATTTTTTTTAATTTTGAGAGCATTTCTTCACTATAAACAGACTACACTGTAAATAGTCTTTGCAATGTGACACTTCATTATATCACATGATAAAGTAATGAAAAACATTTCTATGATTTGGAGACAGACTTGATTTTTGACTGTTTTTTTGATTTTCATGTAAACAGATAAATGATGTTAAGATCAAGAAGGTTCTAATTTAGCAGAAGCTATAAATAGAAAGTTTTATTCCATAACATAAAAATGAATTCATATTCTACACAATCTATGAATCCTTATTTAAGAAAAAACAACAAAACAACTTTATTCAAATCTAGTTAACTGCAACCTGCTCTTAATAATAATCTAGGATCAACAATAAGATGTCCCAGCTGAAATTTTGTTCATTTAAGAGCAACAACAATGGAAAGATCAGTGTTTTCTTTCACATATAACAAATGCTAGTACCACAAAATAAGGGAAATGCACCTTAAAAAAACTTACTGAAAACCAAACAGATGTAAACACATGTTTCAATAAGTCAATGTGGCAGGTCTCTGAACTGAAATCTGCATCAGCATTACTTTTAATATTCTTCAGCAGATTATTTTTTTCAAGGGTGCCCAATTACTTTTAAAATCTTTAAATACTAGTTCATAGTTTGAAAAAGAACATGTTTTTTTGTTCTAAATCTGGTTCTGAATATCTTCATGTGATTTCTCCTAGCATTCTGAACTGTGATTAACATTGGAAAACATATTAAAAACCATGTTTATTATTGTTGTATCTATGTGCAGAAACACAACTTTGCATTACCATTTCTCCAAGTGTTTTGGAGCTTTATAACTCTGAGGAAGTTAAACTCCTCATAATCACAGGAAAATTTTTGTTTTCAACCATAACACCATCAAAAAGAAGTTCTAGCTTTTCAGCCAGATATGTTTCACATTGGTCCAGAAACTATGGAGGCAGAATTCTGCACCTCAGAAGATCTTTAAACTCTAGCATCGCTTAAGAAAATAATTCAGTAACTGCTTGAAAGCCAACCCACAGCAGTTTTGACAGTTACATTTATAAATCTTCAGGTTTGAAAATTATGTGGAAACAGCCCTAATAAGTAGTTTGTCAACAGATACCCCATTAATTTAGTTTTCCAATAAAACTGCAGCTCCATCTTTACCACAATGTCACACTAAATCAGAACCATTTAACACATCATTGTTCTTATACTAGCCCTCTTCTGCTGGTGCATGAATGAGCTACAACTGCAAATTTAAGATTACAGCAGAAAACACTGATCAGATTTCATGATTTACATCCACTGGTGGGAACCAAAGGAACTTCTGGCATCTCAGCATGGCATGTGAAGCTGTGAGCCTGTTTTGATAAAATACTTGTATTGATCACTTTAATCTCAGGCCAAGTGATAAACACTTGAGAACTGTGTTTTTGCTGAAGAGAGGACATGGTATATGAAGCACTTCTCATGAACAGTGGATTAATAAAATGTAATCCCCATTAGTGTGTATAGGATTCCAGTCAATTCCAGGGTGAGTCTGAAGGTGTTGGTTCTGATCTGTAGGCTTTGAAAGCCAACTGCTCTAGAAGCAGACAAATTCTGTCCTGAACCTGAAAAGTGACTTCATGCTCTAAGACTATACTGAGGCACTTGATATTCACTGCGTCCTTTGGCTGTACTTTCCTCTCCTGAACTAGACTCTCTGTTGCCCAGGTGAACACATTCGATACAAACGCCCTGACTATTCCTGAAGAACAGTACAGTGGAATAGTACACTAATAATATGGGAACTGCAAATTTTCTGTTACTTTGAAATGTGTTAAAAAGTAATGGGATTACAAGCCATAAGGCATATAAATCACAAGCCATCTTCAAAACGAGAATGAAGGATGCTACAAAACCTGAATTTGTGGACCTATGGGAAATACTATCATCTCTTCTGTTTTTCTGGTGTTTTCTTCAAGCAGTTTTGGAATTAGCTTTTCAGAAAGGAAAGTTGTATTGCAAGGAACTTGGTAGGGTTCATCTAATACTTAGGGAAAGTTTTTTTTAAGAATACCCCAAACCCCAAACACATCTAGAACCTGAAATACGTACATCTGATCACAGATATAATCTTAACATATCTTAAATCATGACTAAACAATACTTCACTATACATACAGCGTGAACAACAAATTCAGCTCTCTCATTTCTATCTTCATATTCTAACAAGTCAACCCATTCCACATGTTTTAATTTGATAGCACAAATTTCTTGGAGCTAATCTCTTAAGACAAAATTGATGCTTATCCAAAGTCATGAAACACTAAAATTTAAATGTGATTTTTATACTGCTTAAGCAAGCCAAATAAAACGATAATCGTTGGGTTGAGGATCCCTTAGTGAGTCATCCAGTCCATTCCCCGGTATCGTGACAGAACTGATTTCATTACCAGCTTTGATAGATGTCAAATCTAGCCTCAAATTTTTCATTGACAGTATTTCCACAACCTTTCCTGGCAGTTTGTTTTATACTTATTGTTCCTAGAACTGTTTGGTACTTTAACTTGCCATCATCATTGCAATTACAGCTTAAGCCTATTATCTGTATCTGTGCTCTTACAGTCAAATAAGATCTGCTTCTTATTTTCATAGTGTGATTTGCAAGCTTGTATGTGATAGTTAACCCTGTCTTTTTTTCACTCTTCTCTAAATAAAAGAACACACTAATTCGATTCCTTAATCATATGGACAAATCTCTTAAAAAGTTTAATAATGCTTTCTAACTTAAAATTGTTTAAGGTGTCCAAAATCTTAACCTGCTAATAGCTTCAGGAGAGATCATAGTTCCAGGTAAACACAGCAAAATTCCCTGTTAACACAAATTTAGTACAATGCTCAACCATTAACAGAAGAGAGCATTTCACTTCACTGTCATCTCATCATATAAGGAATCTGAGATTTAAGAAGTCATTGTTTATTGTCACATCTAGAGAATGGATATTTTAAACATTAATCTTTGTTTCAATGGCACTCATGTAAAAGAAATATACTGCAGGCTCAAAGGAAAAATATGAAAGTAACTTCCTAACTAATTAATCCTTAAAATAACTTTAAAAATAGGGAGTGTAAAAAAGAGTAATTGCATTGATTGGGAAGCAGGGGGCAAAAATTCAGCAGAAACTGCACAGCAAGGTAAATGAGTGAATCTTCTAGCAGTTCTTTAATACATAAAGCATTCTGAAGCTAATATTTCATATGCTTCTTCCTAAATCTCATAAGGCCTGGATTATGGCTAATATCTCATGACACCAAAAGTAATACTGCAGCAGATATTAAAGCATTTTTTTCAGCTACTTATTCTATAAAATATTAATTGCAAGCCTGTGCATGTGCTGTATATATAGGGTATTAGGTAACTGAGTTCCTGCTCAGTTCTAAATCAATAAAAGATAACATATATAGCATCAATCATATTTTACTTTTCTTTACTACCTAATATAGGGAGTATTTGGGATGAATTTTGTCCTAGGTAAACAGTTACCAAGATCTCTGAAGTTAAGAATTAACTGGCTAGCCTCTATTACAGATTCTTACCTATGAAAGAGAGGTTTTTTTCCAAAAGCATTTCTCGCAGCAAGACTTCGTGCTCATGCCCAATAGCGCTGATAGCTTTAGGTTAAGAAATGGCAGATTACTTTGGAAAAGAAGCAACTTCATAAAAACATCATAGGTAAAGTAATTAATCATAGAATTTATTTGCCTTCATCTGTGTTTCAGAAGTGATCAGTGATTTGAACTCTAAGTTTTGAAAATCCTTATAGGGATTTTTAGAAGCATACACAACTTTTCAAAGATCAGATTTTTGTACCAACAACATACCTTTTATAGAATTAAAAACCATTTGACCATATTTATTCAATATAATCAAGGGCAATATTTCCATTTGTATTTTACTGTTTATTCTTCTAAATATAAAAGGAAGTGTGATCCTAAAACATGAAGTTAAATACCTTTAAAATTGCTGTTTACTGATTAGTAATCAATTCTCCAATCCAGCAAAGGATTTGCTGGAATAAAAAAAAAAAAAGGTTTTCTTTCTTTATATTCTTAAATTGATAGGTACTACATCCATCTGAAACATCTTACTGTAAAAAAACATCCTTTTAATTGATTTTTCAGAAGCATGAACTAATGTCAGGGAAAGATGAAATCATATTTTATAGTGAAGTCCTTTTCACTTCACTGACAGCTTGTTGATCCAATGCACTATTCCTTGCAATATGTAAATAGTCACCAAATTAAATATTTCTAACGTAACCTCCTGGAGGTCAAAGTTCTATTCTGGAAGCTTTTAAGAAGAATCCTTTGGAACAATATGATAAAAGGTTTTATGTTAAAAGCAGTTAAGTTCCAAATTCTGTTTAAAGTAACTTCTTAAAGCTTAAGCTGCAGATCGCCTTACCATTACAGTTAATTACTTACATGAGCACTTCATAGTGAAGAGCAAAAAAATAATTCTGTGGAATCATTTCATATGTACATACATCTTATATCAAACTATATATTATGTTAAACTCTACTAGCAATTTCAGAACAAAAGGGAAAAACAAAGAATGGCAAAAAGGTAAGAAAAATACTGCAAACAGAATTTACAATGCACCATAAGCAAAAACACTTAGTCTATAATAATACCTGTTATTGATGTATGGCAATGACCATGGGGCAAAACTTGTAAATAACCTCACAAGCCATTTTCTACTCATGCAATCTAGCAGCCTAGTTTCCCGTAAGCATCTGAACTATTACTGAAAAATAGCCTCTTGGCATTTACAAAGAGGTTGACTTCATACTTTGGTCCCTGCATATACAATTAGATAGTTATATTTAAAATCAATATGCAATCCTTCAGAAGACATTATGCTTTTAAAACCTTAACTTTA